TCAACTTATCTGCCCTCGGCTTCGGGGACATTTAATCCCCAATCTCCCTCAGAGCCATGCTATAATATTATAGTTTTCGATATAAATAATCGTGTCTAAGGTTGAAAGAAGACCAATTAAGAGTTTGAAACCGGGGAAAAACTGCTTGGTGGCGAACATGAAAAGTTTTAAGAACAACGCGTGGTAAACTTATTTATCCCAAATACCACTTACAAAACATGCTATTACCTAATAACAAATACAAATTCTAGCAGGAATTACGTTTTTTGGATAACTCAAACTTAACTCAACTTAACTCAACTTTAACTCAAACTCAACTCAACCTCTAACTCAACCTCTAACTCGATAGCTGATGCCAATGTAAACAAAGTGTCGACATTTGACATCGCAAATGATTATTAGTATGCTTTCTTTATTATCACTTAAATTACATTAAATATAGGGAGAATGTTATGCATTTAATAATTATGCTTCACTAAAGAGCTTATGATTTTTTAAATGGTATTTCTATGTTAAAAATTATCAGTAGACTGTGTCAAAGGGCACAACAAGGGTTTTGATCCTTTGAAAATACATGTAAATACAACCGTTTTTAACTCAGACCTTTTAGATTTTTGAAAAATCTTTGAAAACTCAATCGTGATTTAGAATTCGGACATCATAGTACATGAATAAGCACTTGCTTTTTGTCCAAAAAGTACTGATAGCCAATTGGCATGATGCTTGAGTCAATGTTGAGTCATTAAAACTTAGATCTTCAAGACTTTGGTTTTGGTTTTTGCAGGAAAAATAGCTATGCTGAATATTTCATTAAACTTTATTATCTTTATCATACAATATTTTGTCTTCTTTTATTCAAATGACATTAATTTTACTTGTTTCATTGTTATATTTTTAGRTTTGGTCCCAGAATACTAAGGAATGTCTTCATACTATTAACATACAAGATCATATTTGGTGTGTAGGAATGAATCCAGTCACAAGGTATTAATTTTGTATAATTTACATAACCATTTTATTATTTATTAATTCTACCAGTAGTTTAAAGTAAATTACAAAACACGTTTTTAATAATTTTGAAAATAGTATGATTGCAGATAGAGCAAGGGAATTTTTGTATTTGCTTTAATATTATTAGAGAGCATGTCATGCATCTGTGAAATAACATTCTAAATAGTTTCTTACTAATATTGGAGCTCCAGA